TACATTGTGACGGTCTTAGTCCCAAGGCATATCTCACGCGATTTCAGTTGCGCGCAAGTGGCAGCTTGCCAGATGTCTTCAGATTTGATAGTGGTAAACCCCAAAGACATAGCATGTATAGCTTTCGTAGGTTGATAAAATACCCTATCTTCCGTACATTGGGAAACCTCTTAGGCTGCGTTCATACTGATTGCGAAATCCAGGAACAGTTCCAGCACAGCGCTCAAACTGATCTGCTTCGGGATCAGTATGAACGCAGCCTTACGACGTTATGACCAATTAGAATATCGCCGAATCGCGTCGAGATTGAAATCGCGTGGGATGTGCCTCGAGCATTAGACTCAGTGAATTAAAATACTCTATGGGGACTATAATGGCCGTCAAAAATGTAAAAGTGCTGAAACGCATCTAAGCTGCCCAGAATAACACAAAATTTGAGTTAATATTGGCGCTACCTCCTATTCTCACCTAGGATCCATTTTGAGATAAAGTTATTGTATACATAAAGATGTTGGCAAACGCAGACGTTATCAAAATCAAATCTCACTTCATTCCATACTTCCCGCGATTGTTCCAACCCATAGAGCTTCTTTGATCAAGGCCATTGCGTCCATATGGAAAACGGCTATTACCGGGGGTCATCCCAGGGTGATTTCCACGTCCATTCACACCCATTCCTAGCTGACGGCTTCCGGGATAGCCCAATTGAGAGTAGCGATTTCGTCCGGACCCTGCTGTCGGAAATTTGCCTCGACCCGTACCGAAGCCGACAGGATTACGGCCAGCATAACGATTTCCTCCAAATCCTGCTGCAGGGTGATGACTTCCACCGTAGCCCACCGTAGGCCGAGCACCTCCATAGCCAACTCCGGGAAAACGGCTTCTACCGTAACCACTCGCAGGACGACGGCCTGCGAAACCCGCTGGGGAACGCACACCACCGTAACGTGTTACAGAATAGCGGTTGAAACCTGCGTTGTAGTTTGCATAACTGGGCCGGTAAGGGTTTCTGGTAGCTCCAAGATAACCACCACCAGGACGTCCGGCATAATTTCTTGAAAAGACATTCCTTCCACGAAAACCTCCAAAATGTCCTAACGAGCGTCCTCCGTACATGCCTCTGCCAAAGCCTCCTCGTTGGCCACCAAATCGGTTACGACCTCCTCCAAAGAGGCCTCTTCGGGGGTATCCTAAGAAATGTCTTCGACCATATGCTCCCGTAATAGCTTCAGATAGTAGTGTGTCTGAAAAAGGATGATGCAAGGTCACTAGAATCTGTGAATCTGGCTGAAGTGCCCTTACATAGAAAAAAGAATGATAGAATGGACGATGGCAGCAGCATTAAACTGAGCACTATGTACTGCGCATGAATCGCCCAAGAGGTCGTCGGCCGGTATTTCTGGACA